AGGGGAACAAAGAGGCGAGACCCCTGGTTTCTGCTGCGGAGAAGCTCGTCCAGAAGCAGAGGCGCGGTCCGGGCCTTTTGCTCGTCTCCCCAGCCTCCTCCAGCCTTCGCGGTGATTCAGGGTCGAGTTGATTCCCGTCCTATTCCATCTTTCTGAAGGATTGTTTAGAACGACGTGCGATTGGCTTCTTTTCTCAGCCGCTTCTCTTGCATGTGATGTGACAAACCAGACTTTCATCGATTCACAGCAGAAATGAAGCAAGTCAATCTATCGACGGCGCTTAGCAAATGGCAAATGGCAACGTGACCCAAAGTCCCCTGCAGTCGTCGATGACCTCATTCGGATTCTGCCGGTGCTTACCTCCTTGCCTTATTCAACTGTCGGCAGCAGCCGATGAAAGCAGAATAATGCCCGTTCCTAAATATAACTGCAGGGCCTGACGCTAATAAGCGGCGGATTTGCGATGATTACAGACTGCTTGTACGAGCTGACCGGGCCCTTCTGATTCTTTTGGTATATGATCCGTTCAGGATTCTGAGAATAGTAAGGGCATGGGCACTGGGTACGGTAGCAGTGACTGTACGTGGCCGAGCTCATATTATAATACTAGGTAGGTAACAAGAGGCCAACACAGGGTTACATGGTCGAACATTATTCGAGGCTCTGATGATATTGCTTCTGATTATCTTAAACAGATGTCTCGTACACAGATCCTTGCAGAAGCCATTCGATTACTCCTCAATTGGCAGCGAGGGAACCGGACAAGACAGCATACATACAAGGCGTTCATCCTCAAGCCCACCTCTCCGTACAAGCTAATAGCTCTTCCTTCGTGGCTGAGCATCCTCGATATACATCCCACTCTCCATCCCTCCAATATCCCATCCATCCATCAAGCTCACATCTAAAGATCCTTCCTCGTGACAATGAACCCCCATATCCCACCAAGACGGCGTCATTGGCTAACAGAACAAGAGCCTCGGTAACAACAACAACAACAACAACAACAACAACAACAACAACAACAACAACAACAACAGCCCACCTTGATATGATAGGGGCCCCATTATTCCAGAAACAGTCCAGTTCTAGACAGCTCCGGAGCTTGGGAGCTTTTTAGTGCAAACTGCTGCCTTCCATTGCTCAGTGACCAAACACGGCGAGCCGAAAAGAGGTGGACAATCCACTAGATCATGCCATAACGTCAACGTGAACTCAGCCCTTCTTTGTTCAAACCTCGCAACTACAACTGAAGCGTCCATCAGCCTCAGCTTCAACCTCAACCTCCTTCATCTAGACGGTCTACATCCATCTACATCAACATCATCACCCAATCCACTACACACCCATCCAATGCCATCATGACATCCCTCGTCCCCCGCCCTCCCTACTCCGACGCCGAGCTCGCCGCCCTCTACCCTCCCTCCCTCCACCTCCAAC